CATAGATGATTACCAGATAATGAAATTTCCTCTCCCAAGGCAGACTACTAGTGTATCTGCAATCTAATGTCTTAGAGAGATGCCTAGAGTATTGAGAGGTTAAGTGCCTGTTCCAGCATCACACAATCAATATTTTTCATAAGTAGAATTTGGACACCAGTCTGATAAGCTCTGAAACCAATGTTCTATCCAGTATGATGTTGCCTCTTTTTGTAAAGTAGGACATGTAATGTGGAGATATATTGGTATTCCATGCTAAGATGATGATGATGATGATGATGATGATGATGGTGATACTGACTGCAGAGTTTGCAATCAAAAAAGATTGTCGCTGCTGGAGATGAGTTCTAAGAGTCATTCTAGCTCTACACATTTCCTGTAATTATCTGGTTACTCTGGAAGTCAGGATATACAGCAAAAAGAGTACTTGTTGAGGAAATAAGAGACTTGGGTCTGGATTCTAGCCTGAATACTTACTAGTTCTGTGACTTTAGGCAAGTTCTATAAATCACAAGGGTCAGTTTCTTCATCTGTACTATGTGGACCAATAGTTCCTGATCAATCTTCTCAGTAAAGCCATTGTAAAAATCAAATAAGATAATGGATCTGCTAGAGCTGTAGGCAGAATAAATCATTTTTAAGCAGTAAGGGATTGTTAATATTAAGGTGTAAATTAAGAATATAAACCCTCTTCCTTTTCCTTCTTCTACTTCAGTGTCCCTCTTGATTTTCCCTCTATCAAGATGACATCAGAAGCAGTACATCCCTTTTAATTGCTTATCTGTGGTTCCTGGAGAATGATGAAGTACAGAGTGAATTCTCTAGGGCCTTGTACACAGAAGACATCACAGATATAAGATCCCTAGTATCATGACCACATGCAGCTTTCAGAGGCAGGAGAGTGGCTTGTCTCCCTTTAGAAGGTAGGTTTGCATACAATGGGGTTATTTGAGTCTTCATAAAATGCTCTAATTTTTTTTTATTTTTAAGAAAAAATGAAATGAAGAAAGAGAAGTCTCTCTCTCTTTCCTTTTGATAATTGTTCTAGGATCCTCTCTTACTTAAAAAGTCTAGACATTCTATGGCACACTCCTATTTACACAGAGGCAATAAAATATTCTCAACATGCTCCAGCCCTGGCAAAGTTTGTCTAGAAGCAGGATCAATAGAAACAATTTGTAATGGACAGAGCTGCCAACTTTATACCCTTGATTAAATCCATTTGCCTTTCAGTGCCTTAGTTTCCTCATCTCATAGAACTAGCTGACCATTAGATTTTCTTCCTCCTATAAATCCCAGTATTCTCTATACATTTCATGGACCATGGAAGTCCTAAATGAAAAATATGAGTCTATGAAGGATCTCGGAATGACAAAAGAAATATATTCCTTTCCTGATTATCTTTTGGATAGAAGGGTGACACAAATAGAGTAATGGGTAGAATAGATTGATCAGTAGGACAGCTAGCTAAATGGGGTCCTTAATTTGTGTGATTTTGCTGCCCCTCCCAAAAAGAACAGGCTTATTTTCATGACAGGACAACTAGAACGATCAAAGTCCATCAATTAAAATGGAAGGGTGATGGATAGGTAGGTAGGGATGTGTTAAGTAGAAAGGAATCACAGAGCAGAAGAAGATTTTGGATGTGTCTTCAACGACACTATCCTCTATCTGGAGCCAACTTCCATTGGAAGCAAGAACTAAAAACATGTATGTGGCAATAAGTGACAATATGGAATAAAGGCAAGACCTGCCTGGGCTTCAGAAAACCTTGTTTCCAACAAGCAACCTCTCCTTGGAGAGAGTCTTCTCCTTCTAACTGAACCAGAATTTCTACCTCTGCAACATGAAATACTCATTAGATGAGCCATAAATATCATTTCAATTCACAGTACATATACTATGAATATGTATTCACTGTCTGTGTTGAATATGAAGGTCTTGAATGCTAGGACAGTTTTGGTTTTGTCTTTATATCTCCAGTCCCTAGTATAATGTCATACACATAGTTGCATTAAATAATTTAACATGATTTAAAGAATTTAACATTCTTTTTTTTAAAAAAGAATATGATCTCTCTGAGTCAAAAGTGTTATGTGTGAGTAGCTGGATCTGTGATTATGTTTCTGTCATTAGCTACTGGCTAGGACACCAGCTGAATATTTAACAAGATTGGAAAACTTTAACCCTGGTGTGATATTGATTGGTACTTCAAAAAAGAGAAGAGATAGAGCTCCTAGACTTGATCACCACCATGGATCACAGAGTTCAACTACCCTTCCCTCATTTCACAGGTGAGTAAGCTGAAGCCCAGAGTACTGGAAACATTTACCTCCATGTACATAGCCTATCATTATTTCTGGACCATAATAGGTACTTAAAGTTTGAGATGATATTGATTTTTTAAAAAGGCAGGAAATGAGAAAATTTCTTGTCCAAATGCCACATTCTACTGTTAAGAAAACTGAGCCTCAAAGAAGTTAATATCTCATGCATCGTTATACAGTTACATAGTAAGCAAAAGGTCTGGGTTTGTATTATTTGGCTCTAAACAGAGTACTTGCTTTTTTCTAGTTACATGACAGTTCCTGGTTGAATTTAATTTAAATAGAAAATTCATTCATTCATTCATTCATTCATTTTTTCATTCAATACATAATCATTATTTACTAAACACCTGCTATGTGTGAATCACTTATAAAAGTAGTAGAAAAACCAAGAGGAAACTAATCATTTAACATCCACATTATAATCTACACATGATCACTTTTAGGTGATAGTAACAAAGACTTTAAACATGAGCTTAATAAAGTTGAAAAGTAAAAGAATAACGTTTAATAATGACTAAATACTAAAAATAAAGGTGAAATAGTATGTTTGATATCCTTGGGGAAGTGGAACCAAATATATAATAAAACAAACCTGGATGGAGGGGAGATTTTCATGGAAAGGATGGGGAAACATGGACAAAAATATAATATAATTAAATACTCAGTAAAGGCAGCACAGTAGGTAATGTGCTTCATCTGAAGTCAGGGAAAAATGAGTTCAAATACAGGTTCTTATATTTACTACTTGTGTAACCCTAGGCAAGTAACTTGACTTTTATCTGTCAATTTCTGCATCTGTAAAATAGGCATAATCATCATAATAATAACACCTATCTCCCAGTTTAGTGATGATGATGCAATGAGGTACTGTTGTGTTTACCAAAACTTCGTGTTATATAAATGTGAGTTTTTAGTATTGTTATTGCTTTAACTACTGCTAATCAATATCATTGTTAATTTTTATAAATGATTGAATGAAAAGATGTAAACATTAATGTTTTCATGTCAACTTGGGAAGAATTTTATCTAGTGGAGTGCTTCAGGGATGTACCTTAGCCTATTTAATTCAACACTTGTATAATTAATTTGAGAGAAACTATATTAATGGTCTGCAAATAAAATGCATTCATAAATCTACATAAAGGAAATTGTGGAAGTATGTGTACCTCACTCAGTGAGAGTAAAGACTGAAAAAGCTTTAGCTGTGTTAGAATATTGTCTTGAATCTAATAAAACGGTAAATCAACATGCATGTATAAGTTGCTTACTAGATAAACAGTACTGTGCTAAGGAAGGGAGGAGAGACTCAATGACAGAAGTGCAGCAACAGCAAAAAAAATGTACCTTATGTCATGGACCTTACATTTTGTTGGGGAAGAAAAAATGTGCATGTTTTAAAGAATAGATGGCAAATAAATACAAGATATGTTAGGTAAAAAAAAGTGAGCGTCTGAATCTATTACAAAAGACCTCATGCCAAAGATGTCCTTGGTTCTGTGTTTTGAAGAACACTCTTCTAAAGTAAGAGTTAAGAATAAAGTGTGCTATAATGATGTGCAATATTACATTTAAAGCCTTTACCCTTAAATGAGGTAGGGGAAAAAGTTCATAAAATTGTTACACCATCTCTCACCAGTTTCCCAATTTCTTAAGAAGGGGAGACATTCCTTCAGGGTAATTGAAAAAAAAAACATCATTCAACTTTATATCACTATTCCACCTTGGGGAAAAGTGAGAAATATCATTCTCAGGTATGAGCTAGTTAATATTCTGGAGCGATTTCACCCAGAAACCAGTCTTCTAGGCCTGTTGGTAGAGCACCTGAATTCACTTTTAAAGGTTTAACAAACTCCCTCTTGGTCATTTATTCCCAATCATATTGGTTCTCCATCCTTCACCATTAGCTTGCTTGCTTTCATTCCCCTCCACCCAGCTGTCCCAGTATCCAACCTGAAAGGAACTCTTTCTTTCCACAGTGCTCTCTGAAATATCTTCTTCATGGGTAACAATTTATTTTCACTTTAAATGTTTCCCTTGACTATTCCATCACTCTGTAATCTCTTTTCCTTTGAGGTTTACTCAATCTATATTTACCATCCAGTAAAAAATGCTGGTAGCTGTTGCCATCACTCATGTTCTTCTGCATGGCACCACAGGAAAAATAAGAAAGAATTGTTAAAAAATGAAAAGTGATAGTGTAAGGTGGGCAGTCTGCTAACATTTAGAGCTACCCAAAAGTGGAATGGGCTGTCTTGGGAGGAAGTAACTTGTCCCTCACTGGACATCATCAGGCAAAAGCTGGCTGACCAGTTGTCAGATATGTCGAAGAGGATAGTCTTGTTCCAGTTTAGATGGGATGCAACACCCTTCGATTGCACTTCCCAATTAAATTCTCTGACTCTTTCATGAGGATTCTCGAGTTACTAGTAGAATAGAGACCTCAATCTACTTCAATAATTCTTCCTGAGACCTTCAACCTATATAAATTATCATAACACTCCCAGCTCCATGAAAGTAAAGGATTTTTTTGTCTAATTTTGTTTTGTTCTTACTTTACACCCTCAATAAGTGCTTTAGTGCCACGCAAAGAATCGGTATTTAATTCTTGTTTGTTGAATACGATTTTTTTTCCAGGACTGACTTTCTGATTCTTTTTTCCCAGCAGGAATCATGGTGTCCAGTGAGAGAAATCATAGTTCTGTTGCAACATTTGTCCTACTAGGTTTTTCAGATTACCCAGACCTTCAAGTGCCCCTCTTCCTGGTGTTTCTGATCATGTATTCTATCACTGTGGTGGGAAATCTAGGAATGATTGGCATCATCCAAATCAATCCCAAACTTCACACCCCCATGTACTTTTTCCTCAGCCATTTGTCCTTTGTTGATTTCTGTTATTCCTCCATCATTGCTCCCAAGATGTTGGTGGACTTACTCATAGAGGACCGAAGCATCTCCCTCTCTGAGTGTTTGGCACAGTTTTTTTTCTTTTGTACCTTTGTGGTAACTGAGTCCTTCCTGTTAGCAGTAATGGCCTATGATCGCTTTATGGCAATTTGCAATCCTTTGTTGTATACAGTTGCCATGTCCCAGAAGTTTTGTGCCCTCTTGGTGGCGGGATCATATACATGGGGTACGATCTGTTCTTTTCTACTCACATGTTCTACTACCCAATTATCATTTCAAGGATCTAACACAATTAATCACTTTTTCTGTGAGTTCTCATTACTGCTTAATCTCTCTTCTTCTGATACTCATTTCAACCAGCTCCTGCTTTTCATCTCTGCCACTTTTAATGGAGTGAGCACACTTTTGATTATCCTGGCCTCTTATGCATTCATTTTTGTCACTGTCTTGAAGATGAATTCATCTAGTGGGCGACATAAAGCCTTCTCCACATGTGCCTCTCACCTAATGGCTATCACCATCTTTTATGGGACCATCCTCTTTCTCTATTGTGTTCCCAACTTCAAGAACACTCAGGTCACATTCAAAGTGGCTTCATTGTTTTATACAGTGGTAATTCCCATGCTTAATCCTGTAATCTATAGCCTGAGGAACAAAGATGTAAAAGAAACAATCATCAAGTTAATGGACATTAATTTTTTTCTTCATAGGAACATTTCTCACTAATTAGAAATTTCTGATGAGAAAGCTATAGAAAATACCTCACAAGTGATAAGCTCTAATTGGATAAATGACATAGATGAAAAAGGTTACACAACAATCAAATTACAGAATCAGAAAAAAAATAGCTACTTTCAACAAAGTGAATACCCTCATCATCTTCCTTGCCTCTTACAATCTTCAGTTTTGTCATTATCCTATAGATGAATTCAGCCAGCAGAAGGCATATAGCATTCTCCATTTGTGCCTCCCATGTAACAGCCATCACCATATTCTATGAGATCATCATTTCCCTGTACTGTACGTCCAACTGCAAAAACTCAAGGCACACAGTCAAGTGAGCCTCTGTCTTTTATATGTTGGTAAAGCCCATATTAATCCCCTTCCTTTACAACTTGAGAAACAAAGATATAAAAGAGGCCTTCCAGAAATTAAAATACAGAAATGTATTTTCTCAATGATCATGCTTGTCTCTGTGTGACTAGATCACCAGAGCCTGATAGATGAGATATTCTTTCCTGCAATCTTATCTAAACTAAAGTTCGTTAAGAAAGTGAGGGAAAAAAAAAACAGCACTTGCCCAAGATCACAAAGTAAAATTATCATAATGTACAATCAAAAGCATTAAAACTCCTGATTCTTAAATGAGTGGTTTGCCCAGGATACCTTATTGTTTCTTATTATATTACTATACCTGGTAAGTACATTGCCTAAAAATAAATCAGTTGATTCAGCAAATGCTCTAGTACTCTATACACTCTCCTTTTTTGCATTTATGATATCGATGATAATTCCTTTGTCCATGGAATGGTTTTGCTTTGAATATGTCTCCTGTTTATTCAAAAGAAGAGTTTGATTTAGGTAATCATGTAAAAGGATTCTGAAATCCTATCAACTATAAGAGATGAACCTGAAACAGACTACTACAAATCAGCTTCATGTACACAATTCTAGCTTATTTTTTATGGATATTTTAAAAGGAATGGAGCACATTTCATTTTTGTGTACTTTTATTTTTCAATTAACCACCATGAATTTTCTTTCCCACCTGTTTAGTCTTCCACTTCAAAAGAACAACATACACCCATCAACTATATCACAACATACACACATCAATATCAAAAATACAAAGAAAGGAAAAAAAAGATACTTTGTAAAAATATGCCTAGTGTTGCAAATCAAAATCCTGTATTATGGGGGCAACTAGGTGGCGCAGTGGATAGAGAACTGGCCCTGAAGTCAGGAGGACCTGAGTTCAAATCCAGCCTCAGACCAAACACTTGACACATACTAGCTCTGTGACCTTGGGCTAGTTAGTCGCTTAACCCCGATTGCCTCACTAAAAAAAAAAAAATTCTATATTATGGAAACATATTTTGCATTATTTCACATATATAATGGATATCATATCTCTTGCCCTCTCAACGTACAGGAGGTAGAGAGAGAATTCAGAACTCAAAATTTAAAAAAAAAAAGAGAATGTTATTTTTTATGAAAAAAAAATCATTTTGGCCATATCCAAAAAAATGTGCCTCATTCTACATATTTAGTTTCTTGCCATCTAGAAGGGCATGCTTTTTCATGCTTTTTCACGGTTTATCATTAAAATTATGGAGTTGAGGCTGGTCATTAAATTGATCAGAATTGTTAAGTCTTCCATATGTGTTTGTCTTCACAATGTTATTCCTTTTTTGTTATCTTTGCCAATCTGGTATTTATAAAGTGAAAATTTTGTGTTTTCATTATATATATATATATATGTATATATATATATATATAACATATATTACTCTAAATATTGGGATAGTTAGGTGGTGTAATGGAGAGAGAGCTGGGCCTAGAGTCAGGAATATTCCTCTTTGTGAGTTCAAATCTGGCCTCACGTGTTTGCTAACTGTGTGACACTGGGCAAGCCACTTAACCCTGGTTGCCTTCATTCCTCATCTGTATAATGAGCTGGAGAATGAAATAGCAAACCAACTACTCAAGTGTCTTTGCCAAGAAAACTCTGAGTGGAGTCATAAAGAGTTAGAAGTAACTGAAAAATGTCTCTACAAGTCTACATATTAGTGATTTTGATAATTTTGTATCCTCTCCCATGGTTATTAAGATCTTGGATCTCTGGAAAGATTTGCATGAACTGATGCAGAGTAAAATTAGCAGAACCAGGAAAACATTGTACACAGTAACTACAACATTATGTGGTGATCAATTTTGAAAGACTTAGCTCTTCTCAGCAATTCAATGATCTAATACAATTCCAAGGCTAAAGATGGAAAATATTATCCATATAAAGAGAAAGAACCATGAAGTCTGAATGCAGCTCAAACCATGCTATTTTCTCTCCTTTTTGTTTGTTTGTGTTTGCTTTGTTCTTGTGTTCCTTTTTTTGTCCCCTTTGGTTCTGTTTCTTCTTTACACTATGACTAGTGTGGAATATGTTTAATATCACTGTACAAGTATAGCCTATTCAGATTACATGACATCTTGGTATGAGAGGAAGTGAGGGAGGGGGAAAATTTTAGAACTCAAAATCTTATAGAAGTAAATGTTGAAAACTGAAATATAAATAAATGTTTAAAAATTTTAAAAAAATATTGAATTTATTACTCTTATATCTGCACATTTTTATCATTTGACCTCTTATCAGTTGAGGAATGGCCCATGTTCTTATATAAGTTAATGTATTTTGAAAATTTTACTTATCAGAGAAACTTATTAAAAAGAGTTTTATCCCAGTTAATTGGTTCCATTCTAATTTTAATTGTATTTATGTTTTTTGGCAATTAACTTTTTTAAATGTGTAATAAACTTTTCTTTCATTTTAACTCTTCTTTCTTTCTTTCCTTCTTTCTTTTTTCTTTTTTTTTTTTTTGCTTTTTGGTGAGGTAAAATCAGGGTCAAGTGACTTGCCTACGGTCACACAGCTAGCAAGTGTCATGAGTCTGAGACTGAATTTGAACTCAGGTCCTTCTGATGCCAACACCATCTAGCTGCCCTGTTTTAAGTTCTAAGATCCTACCTATCATTTATTTGGTAATGAGCTCCTTCAGTATCCATAGATCTAAAGCAACTTTCTTTTCTGCTCTATTTTTTTTATATATTCATCTAATTATTTGTATCTATTAGCTCAGTGCCTGGCACAGAGTAAATGCCATATAAAAGTTTATTCTCTCATTCCATATAAATTATGTACCCATTTGAAACATCTAAATATATGACATGAGGCTTTGGTTTAATTTTAATGACT